AACTCACATACCGGCCGACGGCGCCTGCGCGGAGGCGCGCGCACGCCGCGAGGGGGCGGAGCCGAGGGCTATATAAGCCGACGCCCCACCCACCCTGGTCCGCCCACCCACGCGGTGCCTGGCCGACTCCGCCCGGCGGCCGCAGGTGTGTAGCGGAGCGGGAGCGGTTCCAGGTGAGCGTCTCCCGACCTAAAGCTGCGGGAACCGAGCTCCTGAGGGAGAACCCCATTTCTGGAGAACGACGCCCCTTGAGCAGCGCAGTTTTGCGCGAATTTCTGGGAGACGCTCCGGCTCCCGCGCTTCTGCTCCCTACCTTAGTCGCGAAGGCCTTCCTTCCGCCTAGCGGGCTGCTGGGAAAAGGGCAAAGGCTGTTATTTTACATCAGATATAAGAACTTAACTGCTGAAGAAATCGCAAGCAGCCAGCACCAACCCGTCCTTTGATTTTTTTTTTTTTAATTTTACTTGATTTATCTGTAGGTGTTGCCCAGGATCGAACCCTGTGCCTCTGTGTGCTAGGCAGGCGCTCTACCCCAGAGCCACAACCCCAGCCCAGCCCCTCCTTTTATTATTCCCAATTTCCCCAATTCATTTTTTTTTTTTTTAGGTCATCACTTAAAGGTTTCTTCCATGTTAGAGGAGCTGGGAGTACAGTGTGCGGGTGTCAGGGAGTCCTTGGCCTCTTGAAACCTTGAGAGCCGATGGAGAAGGAAAACGTGCATGGGGGAATCAGATAAAATTAAATTTGAAATTAGTAATCACTCCCCTGAGAGATCCGTGGTGCTGGAAGAACCTTTATGGGGGAGACTAATTGAGAAGGATGGAGCTACAATCCAAAAGCCGAACGGGAAGGGCTAACTTGGTGGGAGGGTGGACAGTATCAACAATGGCAGAAGGGGCATTGAAAGACGACCCCCCCCCCAATGTGGAGCAGACTCAGTGTAGGAAGAAGTAAGTGATTTGGGATTTTGAGAGTTTGAGGAACCCTTTGAGGATTTTTCCAGCATGGTCACAGGGAGTGTAACTTGATCTTTACATCTCTTTTTAAATGATTGCTCAGCAGTGTGGGGGTGTTAAATGGTCTCAGAGTTGGGGCAGGGAGGCCAGTTAGCCAGCCACAGGGTGTGTCATCAAGGCAAGAGAGGAGGGTGACAGTAGGGAAGAACTCTATTTAGCAAGTAAAATGGACAGGCTTATGGATGAATGGTGAAGGAGTGAAGGTAGGTAGCAAGATTAACTCCAAGTTGAAGGTCATAGGAGATTCATTTATAGATTCCAGAAGCATCGAAGGACACCCCTGAGAAAAGTGACCCGAAATGATTGATCAATCTAAATGTAAAAGCCAAAACTATTAATTTTTAGAAGAAAACACAGGAAAAAAGATCTGTGACTTCGAGATGGGCAAATTTTTTTTTCTAGCAAACAAAAAGCATGAACCCTACATGAAATGATTGAGTTTTTTCAAAATGAAGTCTTGCTCCTGGAAGAACACTATTAAGAAAAGGAATCCAGAGCCTGGCCTGGTGACCCACACCTGACATCCCAGCTACCTGAGAGGCTAGAAGCAAGAGGACTGCACATTTGAGGCCTGCCTGGGCAAGTTAGCAACACCTTGTCTCAAATAAACCAGTTAATGAAAGGGCTGGGGATGTAGCTCAATATTAAAAAACCCCTGGGACCAATCCTCAGGACTGAAAGACAAAAAAAAGGCCAATGGAGGGGGGGGGGGCGATGTAGAAGAGGGGAGGACCAGGAAGAGCACATAGATTTTAAACATGGGAAATTTGGGTTGGGGGTCTAGGTCATTGGTACCACACCTCCTTACCATCCCAGCACCAAAAATACATGAGGGGGGGCAGGGCGGGGAGTATGCCCATGCTGTTTTGAAAACATTATCTAAATTGTTCTGATTTGGGTGAGGCAATATTTAGCCTTCAGACATTTACTAATTAATTTTAAGCATATGAAAACTGGAACATTGTTTGGCAAAATTTGGTATCATCAAATTAGAATATTTATGCAGAAAACAAACATCACCAAAAAACGAGTACATTTTGTTACTCGGGTTGATATACAAAGCCCATTATAGTAATTAAAATGTTAACAGATTCTGTCAAATACTTTGGACTAAAGTAAGAAACGGTAAAATTGCTCTTTATTTTAGATGAAGGTATCTAATGCTTGATATGAGCCACTTAGCCTCGTATAATAATTATGGTTAGTGATAAAGATTGCTAAACTCTTTTTTTTTTTTAAATAGGAAAAGACATCTGGGGCTGGGATTGTGGCTCAGCGGTAGAGCGCTCGCCTAGCATGCGCGGGTCCCTGGGTTCGATCCTCAGCACCACATAAAAATAAAGGTATTGTGTCCAACTACAACTAAAAATAATTTTAAAATTTTAAAAATAGGAAAAGATATTCAACAAAGATTTACTGGTTAAAAAAAACGTGAAAAAATGCTCTATGAAATTATCCAAATGATGTTGTGTGCATTTTAAATATGTGACAACATGTCCCACTATTATGTATAACTATAATGCAACAATAAAATTATTTTGTTTAAATAAATCAGGAGGCATTAGAGAAGAATAGCTTTACCTTAGATTAGGTAGAGGGAAGTGAGGGGAGGGAAGGGGATATGGGGATAGGAAAGATAGAAGAATGAAACAGACATTATTACTTTATATGTGACTGCATGACCAATGTGATTCTACAACATATACATTCAGAAAAATGAGAAATTATATCTTATCTATGTATTAGCATACAAAGTGTATAAATGCATTCAACTGTCATGTATAACTAATTAAAACAAAAAAAAGTTAATAAAGGGGCTGGGGTTATGGCTCAGTGGTAGAGTGCTCATCTAGCACATGTGAGGCACTGGGTTTGATCCTCAGCACCACATAAAAATGAAATAAAGATATTATGTCCACCTACAACTAAAAAAATATATTAAAAATAATAAAAAATTATTTTGTTTAATGTTCAACATCAAGAATCCCAAGGGAAATGTAATTGAAACCTTAGAAAGATAGCAGGAAAATTTAAAGGGCTGGGCTGGGGTTGTGGCTCAGTGATAGTGCTTGCCTAGCACATGTGAGGCAATAGGTTCAACCCTCAGCACCGCATAAAAATAAATCAACAAAATAAAGGCATTGTGTCCATCTACTACTAAGACAAAAAAAAATTTTTTTTTTAATTTAAAAGGCTAAAATTAAAGATGGACCAGACTATGTACTGGCAGGGGTGTAGAATTGGAAACTCACATACCCTGCTAGTGGAAAAACAAAAAGGAACAACTGTTTTAATCACAGTTTAGCAGTTTCTCTAAAAATTAAACATTTGGCCAGGCATGAGGGCACACACTTGTAATCTCAGTGACTCTGGAGGCTGAGATAGGAGGTTCACAAGTTGGAGGTCAGCCTTAGCAACTTAACAAGACTATCAGCAGGTAAAGCACCCCTGGATTCAATCCCCAATACCAAAAAGCCAACGAACAAATAAATTAAACATTCAACTACCCTGTGACTTGGACACTACCATCTGAATTCTTAACAAGAAAAAGGAAACAATAATAAGAGAAAATATATGTTCAACATGAGCTTTATTTGCAACAAAAACTAACACAAATGTTCAAAATCTGATGAATGAATAAATAGTGGTATGTCCACAGGATAGAATACATTTAGCAATAAAAAGAATGATATACTTACATAAACTTTGTTGATTAATCTCAAAATAATTACAGAGCATGAAGAAAACCAGAAAAAAAAAAGGAAACATTTTAAGGATTCTAATCATACAAAATTATATAAAGCACAAAACATCTATTGTAAAGAAAAATGAATGTATAATCTCTCTTCTGGGAAGAGAGATTATAAGGCATGGTGGGACATCCTTCTTATCCCAGTTTGTGAGGCCAGGAAGAGCACTCAGCAACTTAGCAAGGCCCTAAGTAATTTAGTGAGACCCTGTCTCAAAAATAAAAATAAAAAGGACTGCGGATGTGGCTCAGTGGTTAGTGCCCCTGGTACAAAAAAGAAAAAAAAAAAAACTATTGTTAAGCATGAGATGAGAAAATTGAATTGGAACTATCATGCCAGCAAAAATTCAATTACAAAGAGTATGCAGTCCTCTTTGTTATGACAATATTAATAAAGGATACAGATTGTAAAATACCATCCAAAATTCGACTTTCAAATCTCTCAGCTGGTTAGCTTTGTACTGGCTGGGTATGACGCTTTATGTAAATCTGATGATTAAGTCAAATGATGCACAAAAAGAATTCCGTGTACCAAAAAAAAAAAAAAAATTAAACATGCATAATGATCTCAAAAATCTCAGAGTAAGACATTCTTGGGGGAAAAAAATTCTTGAGCTTGGTGATGCGCCCCTGTAATCCTAGCTCCTCAGGAGGCTGAGTTAGGAGGATTGTAAATTTGAGGCCAGCTTTAGCAACGTAGAGGGATCCTGTGTCAATATAAAAACTAAAGAGGACTGGGGACTTGGTGACAGAGCACTCCTAGGTTCAATCTCCAATATGGCCAAAAAAGAAAATTCTTGAAGAAAAACTAATGATGCTTACAAAAAATAGATTACTGGGGCTGGGGTTGTGGTTCAGTGGTTAGAGCACTTGTCTAGCACATGGGCGGCACTGGGTTCCATCCTCAGCACCACATAAAAATAAATAAATGAAATAAAGGTATTGTGTCCATCTTCAACTAAAAAAAATTTTTAAATAGATTACTGATTTTAAAATAACTTGTAAAATGTGTTGACTTTCATTTCACTCTCCCTACCATAGAAAACACTAGAAAAAGATTTCAGTTGCAACTCTATTATCCCACCTATGAAAAAAACTAAATTTTCAAATCAATTTCTTTTTTATCCTACATTAAAAACTGCAATGTAATTTTTTTTATGTGTGTGTGGTGCTAAGAATTCAATGCTGGGCAAGCCCTTTACTACTGAGATATATCCCCAGCTCCTACATTATCATTTTTAAAATAAATTACAGGAGCTGGCAATGTAGCTCAGTGGTAGAGCACATTCTTGACATGCAAAAGGTCCTGGATTCAATCCCCAGCAGCCCCACCCCAATCCCACAAAATAGTTTACAATAATGAAAGAAACTAAGGCCTTTTTCTCTCCTGGTCTTCTAATGTAAAACTTCACTATTCCCAGCATGAGCTCTAAGCCGGGTATGGAGGCGCACAACTGTGATTCCAGCTATTCAGGAGGTTGAAGCAGGAGGATTGCAAGTTTGAGGC